CGTGTTCTTTCGTAATATTTACTCGACTTTTTACCTTCTTATCGAAAAATTAACGATGTTTTAACGATTAACAGATGTTTTTTAGTTTGTTTCCATCGACGATATCCAAAAAACCGATAGTTTATGCGGATAGCGGAATTAAGTTTGACTTTTCTTATCGTTGAATCGTAAATCGATTTTGCGTTCAAATAGAAATAGACTAGATAGAACGCTTCGTAATTGATAATTAAGCGCGATTAAGATCGGTCTGCGTTCAATGTACGATAATTCGTCAAATGTTCATAGACCGAGAAATCGTGCGAACCGATCATTTCTCTCTGGTTTAGTTGCTGATCTAATTGTTTCTTTGCGTGTTTGAATCAGAATGATGATTTGATGGCGAGAAATTGGAAATCGGATTTTCTTTCTGCGAAGCGTATGCGCAGAATGGATAGTTGTGTAGGAAAAATTTCCACTTTATACGAATCACGTTGATCGATCTTTTCCCTTACGATCCTATAATTCTAAAACTTTCAGAAACTTTCATTATCTGTATGAGTTTTCGCTTCTATTATCGATTCTTCTTTATTATTATTACCAAAAAAAAAAAAAGAAAAAGATTGTCATCATCATCTTCAACATTCTACGTTAAATAAAATTCTTGAAATTCTCTTAATGACGATAAAAATAATGTGCGACTACTAGCGATAAGTCGTTCGTATAACTTACGAACTCGAATAAATTTCCTATTTACCGAGAAGGTTCTGATATACCGAGAAGGCTTGCATCAAAGATAAAGCGTATCGTATTTGTCGTCGGTCAAAGGAAAGTGTTACTCACTCTCATTCCTGGTAGTTACGATGCTTCCGACGCTACGAGGTTACGCAAACGGTAACGAACCATCTAAGATTAGAGAAAGAAAAAATAGAGGAAGAAAGGATAGGGAATAAGAATATCTACGTGTGTCACGTATAGGAGGTGCGCAACGGGTGCAAATCGCAAGTTAGAAATCGAGTCGGATCGGTATAATTGCATCAGCAGACGGATCGTCACGTAGAATTTTTTTTCTTTTTCGACCACCCGTTACGTACCACGTGTGCGTGCATGCAACACAGCGTACATTTATACATCGTGACTTTCTACTCACGAGTTAGACGTTCGTCCAACTATCGTTCACGTAAGGCGCGCAATCGATCGAATTATATACGTATGGTTCACGCCATATAACGAGACGATAAAGAGAGGAGAGTTGTGGCCTTAAATGGCCTATCATCGCGTTCGTCGTCGCGGTTATAATTGCGCGGACATAGGCCCTATTTTGCCCTACGATACACACGGAGGCGTAACATCGTCACGATGCGCGTATGCGAAACGTATTCATTGCTATTCACGTGTCGTCCGACCGACACTGTCGTCGGCCATCCTCGTCGGTTATCGACACACGTAGCACGATAATACGGACGGTATGATGGAACATTCTCGGTCTCGTGAAACCGTTCGTTCCTTCTTTCTAATCAATTATTTCCCGTTTTCGATGATTCATCATTCGTTAGGGGAAATTGCTACAAATATACGGGATGACTCGGTTAAAATTGTTCCATCAGACTGGTTTCGAGACTGTTAAAATATAGTATCTATCTAATATAGTATAAATCCTGTTATTGCGAATTTGTTTCAGTATCGTTCGTATTTTAGTATTTAGTTTTTTTTTTTTTTTTATAATAATAATATACAATTATTCATAGTTTGAAATGAATTTTGAACCGAGATTCAAGAATGATGACAATTTATTATTTTTCTACGTATATATCATGTATAATCATTGCGTGATCATTTCTCTCTCTCTCTCTCTTTCTCTTTCTCTCAATAAATTTAACGTTCAAAAATAATTCTCTGCTCTTTTGGAAAAGCTAATATTTTCACACGTATACCTAGGAAAAAATTAATCACGTCGAAATTTTATTTTTTTTCCTCAAAATCATTCAACTTGTATAAAATATTTATCTACCCATTCGATTTATATGAGATTTTTGTACATGGTTAATGCGTGAACTGAACGGCCGAGTGATTCATTCGTTGAAAACTAGGTTTACCGTTGATCGTGATTTTTTTCTTTTTTTTAATCTCGCATTTTGTCGAGAACGTTTAATAATTCGAACAATTTATTTAGTTGTAATGTACATTTAACGCGATGAAATAATCACGTATCATGGAACTGAAGAATTGCACGAAAAAACGAGAGGATAATCATCGTTGATAAATCGAGACGAAAGTAGTTTGATGTAAATTCACGAAATCGTTGTGCGAATATCGTTTTAAAAGGGATTGCACGTTCAAAAACTGGAAATTTTTACAATTTCTTTAACGAACTTACTTGTTTCAAGTATTATCACGCGTCTATCTATTTTTCCACTTCACGACACTATACCATGTTTGCAAATTTAAAATCTCAACCGATTCGTTCCAGATTTATCGTGGGATTGCTTTGCTATTTACGTATGTGTAAAACTCGCTAACAAGAATGATAAACTGCTTAAAGAAATAATTACCGTGGTGTCGATCGCCCGATAAAAATACCACAAGTTTGTGTGTGGTTACGAACGCATTACGTACCTACTTTACGCACGTGAGTCGATACACGATATGATATAATGCGAAAGTGAATGTCGTTGATGACCGTGTTTTAACAGAGAGATCGTGGAAAGATGTTGAATAACTCTGAATTACTTTCGATCATTTCGAAAAAAGTAAAATACGAGCTAAATTAGTCATCCTTGTTGTTGATAAATCGTTTGATTTTTAAAATTTTAAACGTTAATTATATAGATTCGGAATGCGTTTAATATTAAAATTAATAAAAGATATGACAAATTTTCTGAGTTTGATCCAAAATTATATTTAAACCATATTCTTTTTTATTTTCTTTATCTCAAATTTTATTTCTAATTATTATTATTATAACAAAATGTTGCGCGAGAAAAATGATAGAAATAAAAATGATCTTATTTGAAAGAATTCTATTTGATTTTAGAAATTCAGGTGTAACTTATAACGCGGTTATAACGTTTAAAATGGATTTTATTCTGTCGTTGAATTGAAAAGATAATTCGAGATAATGGATTATTAATCTTGAAACAATGTAGTTAACACGATGACAAGTATGAATTCATTTGGTTCGCGGAGACACGGACAAAAAGATAATACTGCTATTCATCGTTTTCTTTGTTTACGATTCACGTCGTACACAATTTGTTGGAAAACGTAAGGTAACTATTTATTTAACCATTGCCAAATTTACGAATTTATTTGCACTAGTAACGAGTATTTTGTAATTCGAAATGTTGGAGAGTGGAGAGAAACATTTATACACTCGATGTCGCTATTTGTAAACGTGTCGTTTATTTTCTTTGTGGAAGATGAATCGAGATCATTCTCTTAAAATTTCCATCGCGCGACATCGGAAGATGAATAATTCGACACATTTATAAAATGGTCAGGAACGCGAAGAATCGTCGGCATATAAAGAGAGAAAACAGGTCGTCCCCTGACTGGATAGGTGACGCACGTGAACACGAGGCAGCCAATAGTGTGGGTGCAACCATATGTGAAAGTGACAGCACGTACGGGCAGAGCCAACTAAAGTGGTGGGTAGTAAGGTCGACGAAGGACGTTGTGAACTACGAGTATTTAAATTGTTGTCGGATGTTTTGTGACCCGGATTTCGTACTAATTAAAATCCTCTTTGTTGTAATTACGATCGTGCGTTGTAATTTCGATTTGTCCAGCCATCGAAGATCGAAATCTTTTTACATTACGAGCACGCGAATCGAAACGAAAATGGAATGGAAAAATTGGACTCGCGTTTAATAAATAACGAATGTTTATTTTTAATTATTTTGATGAAATATATTTTTCGAAATAAATATCGCTCCCGTATCCTCTTTTTTTTTTAACGTTTCGATCGATTTTGATTTGGACGACATTATCCAAACACGGAACACGCTCACTGCCGAAGTTCTTACAACGTTCTTGTATCCATCAAGGTCCACTTATACGTAGAGACCGCTTACTTCAACCGCTCCGCTCCATTTTCTCAAGACAAACAAGGAAGCGTACCGTTCATCGTACGCGAGGATTCCATCTTATTCGACCTCCATTTTTGGACTTCCTTTTCCTTTATTAATCGGCCGGTTACCGAGAGTACAGTCAGAGTAGGACAATCAAAATTACTTGGTGTGTGTATGTGAAACGCATTACGTGACAAGTACGATTCGGTTTGTCGAGCGTAGTTCGCGGATATTCTTGTTCCAATGGGCGGATCCGTATAATTGTAGCCGCTATTAATGGAGAGTAACTCGTAAATCTCGGCTTACGAAATCACAGCTTCGTGCATCCCGTGCTATTGCGCGCGCAAGATGAATGCCGGCATAATTCATTGGATGGAAAAAAAGGATAAATATCTGGTCGCACGTGTCTCGTAGCGGCGAATCAAGTTCAGATAGTGGAATTCACGGAGCATTTTGCAGTTATCATCAGTTTTGATATAAAATAATCGTTGCGTAACGTTACTTGGCGACACGTGAACTGTGGTAATTTGAAGCGAGCACGAGTATGAAAATGCGACGGATTAATAAATTAGGTTAATTTATGATATAAAAATTCTTCGTTTTATACGTAAATTTTTTCTAAAAATTGCAATTAATTTTTTCATCGTAACTGTTTTAATTTTTTTTCTATTAATTTCCATGTTAATTCAAAATTATTTTCGACTTTGGCACCGAGTCAATTTCAAAATATTATCGTCCAAGGTGCAAAAAATTTAATATTACTAATTATGCTTTTCTGATTCACGATTTTTTATTTAGAATTGCGAAGAATATTCAAGATATTTTTCAGTTTCATCGATTCATTTTTCGATATTAATATCGACCGTATTATAATTTCGAAATTCAAAAATCTTCGAAATTGCTATTTTACGAGTCAATTATTTTTTTTTTTTTTTTTTGTAAAATATCCGATTTTGTTGTAATTTGGAATAAAATTTTATGAAAAAATTTTGAAATAAAAAAGAAAAAGAACAAAGTTTCCATTTGGAAAGAAAAGTTGGAAAGTTTAAAAATAAAATTCCAAACTTTCGATTTGGAAGTGAATTGGACGTCAATGACGCATCGTTACGCGACCACGTTATCGTTTATTTACAAGTAGTATAAGTACAGGTGACGAGAAGATGCTTGCTCGTAGATATAGTTACACAGGTGTGCACCGCCGTTACACGATGTGCAAGCGGTGCATGAAATAAAGAAGAAGGAGGGAAATCGAGTCACATGCCGGAAAATGTCAACCACGTGCAGGTACACGAGGTTCTCGCTTATAACACGTTCAACGTGATTATGCTCGTGCAAGAAACGATGCAGAAAATTGTTTCAGATAATTTACTTGCGTGTTACATCATTTACGGTAAAGAGTGTGGAGAAAAACACCGTATAACATATTATGAACCACTCGCTTGTCGATTAAGCCAAGGACGTTGTCATTGATTTTTTGGATAAAAAATACATAATGTTATCGAACTGCAAAAAAGTGTTATTCATCGTCGTAATTATGATATGCATAATTCAACTTGTACAAATTTTTATTTTAACATCACTCGTCGTTATCGTTATCAATCAATGTTATACATCTCCATAAGAGAATTCGAGTTTATTTAAGAGGAATGAAAAATAATATTTTCGCTAATTTTCTTTTTTTTTTTCAAATCCCATCAAATACATAGATTTTTTCAATCTTGAAACGAAAAATTGTTAATACACTTTGATGCAAAATCAAAATTGATCGCTTTACGCAATTATTTTTTCTTCGAAATTTTATGAATAAATTCTAGAAATTTTTTTTCCACTTTCTATTATATTTATAATACGAAAATCGTATTAACCGATAACGTTGATTAGATATAAGATTTTTTAAATTATATAATATATATATATATATATTGCATAAGTTTTAACGAGTTCTAAAAACACTTTCATCGTTCACGTATTAGACGATAATCCAAGTTTTCGATATTGCGCTGCGATCGAGGTGGTTAAAATTTTCTATCGTGTTATATCAGTATCATTGTCGTCACATTTCGGTACGGGACATCGCGTAAATAGTTCATAAATTGACGGGAAATGTCAAAGCGAAATAATATCATTAACGGATAAAGCGTTGCTGGATATTACATCGATAACGATACGTGGTCGTATGATAATCACTCGACAATGATGTTCCTTTCGTTAGAGAAATTACTTGTGACGTGATTAACCGTGAAATTTTCTTAACGCGAATATCGCTTCGTGTCTAATACAATGGGATTTAAATACGTATTCTTATATAAGTGTACTTCAACGTATTCGTTTCTATAAACGACTCATCAAATTTGAGATAGATGTGGAAAACAAATTTGATTAAACAAAGAATTTTCGAATATCAAGAAATAAGAAGAAAATAAAATGACAATTATCTTTGACATTTTTGTTATAATATATAAAAAAAGTGTAACAAAATGTGGAAAATAAAATATCATCGTTTATTATTCATCGAAGTTTGAGCATTCTTTGTTATCCGATAATTTTGTCGCGCGATTGTTTCACATGCGTTATATTTACATATATGTATATGCGCACTGTTATTTATATTCGCATGCTAAATGTACGATAACTATATACTTTAACACGTTATGTGCAGTTATTGCAAATATTGACAAGGAACTTTTTTTTCCTTCGTGTACATACACATACACATCGTGTCCAATTTATCCGTTTTATTTACGTGTGAAAAAAATCATTAATTTGCATATTATCTTAGAATAAATATAAGAATCGTGGTGTCAAAAACGACAAGCATCTCGTAAACGAATCGTTAAACTTAGAGATAGAAAAATAAAGTGCGATGCAGTTAGTATCGCGTACTATTTCTTCATTATTGTCGACTCTCATCCTTCGTATAAATGGAATTTATCATTAGCGGCGATTATGCAATTCCATATGCCGTAATTGCGTATACGATACAACGATGTTGATGGCCAATGCATGTCGTTTGTGTTACTTTTTACTCCGTGTAATTCCGGAAAACGGCAGAGGAATGACATATACGACCGCGATGCGATCGATTTGCGTAATTCCGAGATGTAATTATATAATGCGAAATCGAATTATGTCTCGTAGTCGGAATAATGCTATAAATAAGGCTTTTGCACAACAAGTGCATTTATATGACCGGGAGAAATGTGTTTCCGTTTACAATTAGGTAAACGATGGTTTCGCTCTGGGTAATATCTTTTATAACAGAGAACGTAACTCTTTTTCCTTTCCCACAAGGAAAGCGTAATATTATTGAATTATCGCGTACGAAACGATCGATTTTAAAAATGTGTAAAAAATTATTCAACGAGACAAATTTACGAACTGTGAGATTAAAATTTTTTTGAATTTTATCCCAATTTTCAATTTAGATTTAAAGCGCGCATCATTACTATTCCTGTGATTGCATAATTATTGAAATTTCGAGATTGTATTGAAATTGGAATATGAAGGAATATTTCTTTAAATAAAAATAAAACTTACGACCAAATTATAATGTTGATTAGATGGAATGAAATTAGTACGATAATTTCGTACCACACTTTGATCCAATGAACCGAATAGCCTCTTGCTATTTTCAGTTACGTTGTTTTGGAACACTGTCACGATTATTGATGAACATAAAAAGTACTTTGCTCGGAGCATGTTTGTTACAGTCTAATTAAGGAAAGATATTTATAGTAAGATAAATGATTAATTATACATTACATATGTTAATTGTAAGTAGTAAGTTGACTGTATTGTATTTTCAATTTAAAACTAATTTAAAGTAAATCTTTAAATTTTAACTTTAATGATCCAAATTATGTAAATTTTATATATAATTTTCCGATTATTTTATCAAAGATTTTCAGATTGGTTTTAAAAGTAAATGGTGTTAAGATGTTAAAATTAAAAATCTATGTTCTTGTAACATCCGTGTACACTGGTTAAAAATATATTTTCTGTACAATATTTCTTTCAATACTTTCAATACTTTTAATTACAGGATGAACTTTATACTCGAACTTTATACTAAAATATCTTGCTTGATTTTGATACCTGTAAAATTTAAAATTATTAAAAAATATTAAACAAAAAATAGAAATTGTAAGAGATAAATATACAAACGACAAATATTCTACATGGAAGTATGTATGTAAAATTTGATATAAAATTTTTGTTCTTAGAAATATCAAAATAATTTCACGTGCCACATTTTCTCGGATTATATTTTCTTGAAACAGAATTATTATATTACAATTTGTTGTGATCCTAAAATGAAATTCAACTTTTTTGCCATTTTCATTTTTTTCTTTCGTTCCTTAACTCCTAAAAAAGTGTTATAAATATGTATATATTAATGTATATATATTATTTTATCATACTAAGAATTATTTGAAATGTAGAATCTAGAACATTTTTTCGATTGACCTTATGTTACACTGATTTATTCATAGTTTCATCTATGACGTGGAGATTGTGCTGATTTCTTAATTTTTAATCTATTTCTGTCCTTCTTTCGTAAATTGTCACGTTATAGCAAGTAATACACACACAAATGCTTATTTTTGTCCGACTGTTATTCCCGATTACTTTTTCAAATAAATTCATTTTCTATTATAATTATCATTATAATCTTTATATTTTTATATAAATTAATTTAACGATTTGTTAACGAATTGTTATCCGATTTCGATTCAGTCATTCATTCATATTGAAATTGCATTGAAAAGATTCAGGAACCAGAATAATTTTTTCCAATGATTACTTAATTATGTTAGTTATGATTTTAATAATTTAATATGATATATATATATATATATATATATATATATATATATATATAATATAT